AAAAAAAAAAGAGGATGTAACCCCCCCCGCGGGGGGGGGGGGGCGCTTGGCGTGCGTCTTAGGTTTCAGTCTCTGACGCTTCTGTTGGGAAATCACAGAGAGGAGACTCAGCGCTGACTTCGATCACGCTGCATGACCCAGCCGGACTGGAGGCGTACGGAAGAACGCGGCGGATTATAAGGAGGGCGCTTCATACCAGCGATGATCCCCACTGGGAAACCCGCCCAATATTCCCTCTGCGTCGGGGCCAATGACACCCGAGAAACAGTCCTGACACAGAAGATTCCGGTGTCATCCTACACCATGAAACATCGTGTGCCAGTGCCGGACCCCCTCTGCTACAGGATGAGGTGGAATCCCCTAAAGCATTATGGGAGAGCAGCGAAGTTCAGATTGTTCCAGTTATAACCTGAAGAGGAGGAGAAATGATGACACGCGTACAATTCTAATCCTTGTAAGCTTGGAGGGCAGAGGCCGGAGGACAGGGTACACTTGGAGGGCACCAGGGGCCCCCTTATAAATGAAGCCCTAAGATTTTGGCACACAAAAGGTGCATTGTATGTTAAAGTGATATTACGCAGCCATGTCAGATCCAAACCATTCACGGTGACATCCCCCTGCTTCAATTACAAGACCCAAACATTGCCAAGGTGGCCGTACATAATGCTCATAATAGGTGATAAAATTCAGGACATGGTCAGAGACCGCAAACATGGTATAGGAGATGGTCAGAGACTGCAAACATGGTACAGGAGATGGTCAGAGACTGCAAACATGGTGCATACAGGACATGGTGAGAGACTGCAGACATGATATAGGAGATGGACAGAGACTGCAAAAATGGTACAGGAGATGGACAGAGATTGCAAACATGGTACATGAGATGGTCAGAGAAGCAGACATCTGGTCTTCCCTACACAATGTAGCGTCTCTGTGCCAACTGTGTGCATCTGCATGTATATTTGTAGTCCCCGGTGGGGGTGTGTGGGGGTGCAATTGTGCAAGTCACAATGGCTGTGATGCGGCTCCATAGAGACCCCTCCATTGAATGTGGCCACTGCAACAATGGAAGTCTTTATAAGCAATCGTATTGATCTGGAGGTGAGCAGACGATGAAGGAAAGGGCTGAGCATTCAAGTATGGCGTGGCTACGTGATGATATATTTGGCCAGTGGGGTTCCTTTCATTTCTCTAAAAGTCAGTAAAGTAAGAACTAAAAAAAAAAAAAAAAATGCAGATAACCAAAATCTTCTCCCTTAGAATGTCTCCTCCGCCCCCCGATGTCACCCCGGTAATGTGCGAGATGGGATAGGAGGAGGTTTGGCTCGCTGACGGTCTGAAGTGATGGATCCTTCAACATGACCCATTTTCCTGCTGGATCTCTGGTTCAGTGACCTTCACCAGCTTCTATCCGCCTGTTTATTTATAAATGGGGAAACGCGGCTCCTTCTCCTATGTATCCGTGTTGTTGTTGTGTGACCAGCAAATGTATCACTTGTGTGAATTTAAAGCTGTACTGCAGGAAAACAGGCAAATACACGGAGGACATAAACCTATTGGGAGCCATTAGCTGTCGTCTTGGGAACCACCTGGAGCCTGTTTACCACCCCAGACCCTGCGCGCGTCTCCTCCTCCCCAGACCCTGCGCGCGTCCCCTACCGAGACCCTCCGAACATCTGTCTCCCCCTACCGAGACCCTCCGAACATCTGTCTCCCCCTCCTGAGAGCCTCCACCCGAGACATCATTCCGGCACCCCGGAGCAGAGCGACAGCACTATGCTCTATGTGCAGGTATGGTGCAGCAAGAATGCACTGTAACTCCAAATCTACTTTAGAAATATTGCCTGCTGGTTCTGTCTTGTGCTTTATTCTGCATTGCTGTATAATGTATTGCCGGGATTTGTAATTCTCTATAGCTGGTGGTATCATGCATTGCTGTATAATGTATTGCCGGGATTTGTAGTTCTCTATAGCCGGTGGTATCATGCACTGCTGTATAATGTATTGCTGAGATTTGTAGTCCCTCTACAGCTTGGTATCAGTGGCAGAACTACCAAGGTTGCAGCGATGGCAGCTGCGACTGGGCCCTGGCACTCCACCACTGTCCTAAAATCATTAGTCTGTATTGTTAGTCATGTCTTTCTCTATGCAATGAAGGGAGATAATGGCTGGTGGGAGGAGCCAGCAGGGTCCTGTACATAGCTTGCTGAAAACATGACAGCACCTCAGTACTCCTCTCAAGAGCCCTCAGCCCTGATGCAAGCAGTGGGCTGGCTCTTGGGAGGAGTTATGCAAATATCAAATTACTGATGGGGAGGAGTTTTGCAGATATCAAAATGCCTTGATGCAAGCAGTGGGCTGGCTCTTGGGAGGAGTTATGCAAATATCAAATGGCCCCTGATGGGGGAGGAGTTATGCAAATATAAAAATGCATTGATGGGTGGATGTCAGTCTGGAGTCCCATAATATTCTATGTCCCAACGCACTCCAGACCAGAATCCCAATGCAATAAGATGGGTGCTGGTATGACAAGCGGATGGCGCCACGTAAGTCCAAGAGTATGAAGTAACTACTGCTACTCTATCCAAAACAAGAGCCAGGAGCACCGGAGAGCCGGCCCTGGAGATGCTTCAAGTCAAGCTATAGGTAACAATGTTTCACAACAGACACGTATAACATGAAAGAAAAGGAAGTGCGCTTACCATGGGAAGGTATTGATTCGTACCCGGTTTTTATAGATCACAATCCCTCCTGACATCACTCCGATCAGGATCTCATTGTTACTCTGATCCTGGAATAGTAAAAAGACACAATTACAGCACGGAACCCACAAGATCGGGTGTGAGCGTCAAGCATTGAAGGACAGGTTCATATTTTTTTACAAAGAAAACCCAGACCCAGAGGGGTATCTAAAACAAACTGCGCCCCCCTGGCATCCCGTCCAGCTCCTGGCAACCACTGACATCACTGGTTGCTGGGAGCTGGGTGGAACGCGGCCATAATGTCCCTGGTTGCCAAGAGCTGGGCTATACACATCTCCTCGCTTGGCTCTTAACAACCAGGAATGCTCTGTCCAGCGTCCCGCCTGCTCTGGTTGCCAAGAGCCAGGCGGAGAGATGTGTATAGCAAACAGTGACGTCAACGGTAAATGTTCCTGGTCGCCAAGAGCTGGGCTATACATATCTCCTCACCTGGCTCTTAGCGACCTGGAATGCTCTGCCCAAGGTCCTGACCCCATACACATCGCCCGCTCTTGTTGCCATGGCCCTTACACATCTCCCTGCATGGCTCGTAGCAACTTAGGAAGCTCTGGCCAGCTTTTCGCTCAACTCCTGGCAACCGGTGATGTCACTGGTTACCAGGAGCTGGGTGGGACGCCGGCCAGAATGTCCCTGCTGGCTATGAGCTTGGCTGGCAGATGTATATGGGAGAGAGTTGGGGGAGAGGAAAAAAAGTCAGCTGTCTCCGTAGGTTGGCGAACATTCGCTGAGCCATAAAGCGGCCACCTCACCTTCAAGTGGCACCCAAGGCATGTGCCATACCCTGGATATGCCACTGCCCAGACCACCCTATGCAGCCGTGTAGCCGTGATACAAAAATCTGGCCATACACTAACAGATTTGGACAACCTTAATGGGTTCTCCATCCACGCGGTTAGGAATCTCCCGCAGAGGCTAATGTATCCTGACATCCAGCGTTCACTGCTGTCAGAATACATTAAGAGTGATTGCAGCTGATTGGATGTGGCTGTGTGTGGGGGTCTGGGTTAAATTGGGGTGCTGAAGAAGAGGGGCTGGTTATCAGACTACAATGGGGGCAATTTGTCAAAACCCGGAGCAGACAAATCTGGAGCAGTTGCCTATGGCAACCAATCAGCTTCTTTCTTTAGTTTGTTCAGTTATGCTTTGAAAATGAAAGAGAGAAGCTGATTGGTTGCCATAGACAACGGCTCCAGTTTTGATAAATTCCCCTCACTACGTTTTGCAATATTGGTCCTTGCCTATTGGCCAGCATGGTTCAGGTCTCTATTTAAACACACTGCATTAGGCAGAGCCAGGCACCTGTCCGCTCGGTTTTCACCGAGGGAGGAAATGTCTCCTGGAGAGATGTCGCTCTCACACACACGTATCCACAACATTAAAATATTGCGAGAGGAAGATTTTGCTGCCCGGATTAGTGTTGTGGGCATTAAAAATAGACGCTGGGCTCTGGCACTCGTGAGCAGCCAGATGAGGCAATCCATGGTAATTACAGCTCCGGCTGGGAGGGTCCGCCGGTGTAATTGCGGTCTTCCTTAAGTGTAATTGCAGGGAAGGAGGAGGTGGAGGACACGGATGGTAGAAAAGCAGTTTCAGAAGGAAGATCTACACATCCACAAGAACTGCAGATATAAAATAATACCCCTCCCCCCCCCCAGCCTGACAATAATATGACTTGCTAATCATATTTATAATTTTGTTTTTTATCTAACCCCTTTCCGCTGGAGCGGGAACCGGCCCTTTAAGTGATGGTAATGTTGGAGGCCTCACATGGGCTTCCTGATTAAGTGATCACATGATGGGGAGGCTACCGGTTACAAATCACTGCTAGGTGACCGGGAACTATCGATGAAGGTGCAGGTCACAGTGCTGGGGCCAGCGAATGAGTCCATTCATTCCAAAACCAAAATGTTAGATAAAAACTAAATCAAAACTAAATTTCGAATGACAATCGCCCAGCCTATTATCGATCGTTACGGCGGGATATTTTGTAGGAACCTTTGTGAGAAAATCTACCCGTGTAAACCCCATGTAAGTAGCTGTAGAGATATGGGTCAGATATTAAAGCCCAATTCCGGGCTCTGCAGGGGCTATTCCCACACTGTAAGGGTAAAAAAGGCTGCTGGGACCGGCAGGGCTATCAATACACTATTCGCCAACTGAAGCCTGGGGGTGTTTTTTGGGTTGGTGTTCC